GCAGCTGCTATTTTCAAGGAGGATCCTGAATCATTCGAAATATACCATGAAGGTTATCAACGCCAACTTTCCCAGTGGCCTCAAGATCCTCTCATCTGGGTCAAGAGTAAAATTATCGAAGAATGTTCAAATTTAATGGCAAACTACAAAGTAGCTGATCTTGGTTGTGGTGATGGAAGATTAAGTCAGTTATTGCCCAGTAATTACGAAGTGTACTCTTTTGATCTTGTCTCCGTAAACGAACGTGTCATTGCTTGTGATATGGCTCATGTAAGTCGTATCGTTATGTACCATGTACTTTATCGATGTTTATGACGATTTCTCCGTTGCTTACCATGCTTGGGCCTTCTGTTAGATTTCCCTGACACTTCCATAATTAATTGTTCTGTTGTGATAACTTAGTTGATTTGTAATATGTATAACTTGTTCCCAAAGTTGTTTGCATATGCAACAACTCAGTTAGATAGTTACGTGACTTAAGGAACACTCCGTTGCGCAAATGACTTCATTCTGGTGAGATGTCTCCCAACCATCGAGACATTGTACTATTTAGGCATCAGTCCTATTTTAATTCGTGGCTGTGAAATAATCTAAAAAAGTTCATTGTTTCAATGTAACTCATCTACCAACAGCAAACTTACTTTACTGGCTTTGGAGAACACCATTTGTGTCAGAATCAATTACACTATTCGGCTTATGGACTGGAATAAATGGATTAGGGTTCGCAACCCACTGGTCGGAACTAAATGTCTTGATCACCAACAGACTACTCCATCAAACGAAGAGAATGTACGTAAGTTAGAAGGATGTAATGATAGTTTCTTCGGAGGGTCGATCGCATGTGATAAAAACACAGATTGAGTGATACTGAAGGTATCTGATGAAAAAGATCCAATCCAGTTCATGGGGCTATAAACTTCCACCATTCGAGACAGTTAGGTGTTAAGCTTGTTAGCCACCACCAACCCCAGTCAGCATTGTTGATGGGATAGGAGAGTGGTTCGAAGCAAACTAAAAGTGGGGCTCAAAACACCTCATAGGGTCGGTATCTGAGACCACTAATTTTTGGTTTGAGCCGTGTTGTTTTATGTAAACTATTTCTCCAAGGTTCATAAGTTAATATCAGGTAACAAGTTGAGATCAATCACGATGTCCCGGATGCGCTCATCCTTAGGGTTCACCCATGTCTTGAGTTTAAACACTATTTCACACTTTTATTCTCCTAATTCCTTCTTCTTCATATTAAGTTTCTCTTACAGCCATTACCACTATTATTATTCCGAATGGCCTATTATACGTATTGTTAATTTTATCTCAATTTTCTTATGTAACTTGAGCTGATACCTGTTTGTGCTTAGTTTTACATTATGTATGATAGATTTTAGCCAAAAAATACAATCAAACCTCAATACTTATAGAAATCTATCCGCTCAGGTGAATGCAACGTCCTAGTTACTAAGGGATTTTCAGACGACTAGTATTCTAACTCAAGTTCCAAGTTACTGATGAAAACACGACTTTCAGCTAGTAGTTTTCGGAGTCGAACTACGCTCTAGTCATTCCATTCCGGATATCTAAATAGTTTCACTGGCCCCTTGAATTCTAACGTGGTTCAAACCCTAGTTAGTAAAGTATCATTACCAAGATTTGATTTGATGACCTCTAATAAATTGAGCATTGGGTAGATTGTTATCAATAAATGATATATTCGTAATATCCCAATCCGTAGAAAACGTAAATTTTCCTACGTTTCATGACTCAGTTTAAGCCACTTCAGAGTAAGTAAAGCTGAGGACGAAAAGCTAATGTCCGGCGCTTTAACCGGATCACAAACCAATGGTGCACATGGGCTCCAGTATCCTGCGGGAAAAAATGGCGTATGAACCAATCGTTGGTCACCGGCTACCATGGGGTGGCATCTCCTCACGATGCTCCACTGCCTTGTGGATCAGACCTTCAGGTCGAGGGCTCGGGGAGTGGCCCCCCTAAGATAACCACCTGCTTCGGTCTGGGCATCCGAGCAGTATCACAGCCCGCACACAAATATGATGAACTGTCGATGATTATGGAAAATACTCTTCTTGCTTCAACTATTAATCAAACGATTCACATTATTATTATTATTACTGTTGTTATTATTTACTACATCATTTATTCACTCTCTTTTATTCCTACTCTGTCTATCCTTATTTTTCGACTTATACAGCAGCTCGTCTATGGTGGAAATTCGGTTCTATCTAAACGTTCTCGAGTAGAGACGTTATCAGCTATGGCTCAGAATAGAAGCCAGTGGCGATCCTGCTGTAACCTTTTACTTTCGTCATAAAAAGTGGTTGCTTCTTCCTTAACTGAAAGATCTCTTCTGAGTGTACGTTTCTGTTTTCCCCATTATTATTATTATTACACCACCTTACACTAATCTGTTCGTTATCGTTTTCTTTACGCTCCTTACCTTTTTTCCTTCTCTTTAAATTCTCATTGTTTTGTGTGGCGCATATATATTTGGTGCCCTCCTGTACCAATATTTATGTGTTTAAATAAATAAATAAGTAAAGCTGTACTTTGTAAATGTTTTACAAAGATTTTTCACACATATCCCAACCTACATACTAACTTCCAGCACAATGCTGGTGGGTTGAGTGATGGCCTAACTATGCGACGTTTAACCTAAATGTTCTTTTAAAAAAACGAATATACACTAGTGTGCTTCCTCTTCATTTTAGGATCTTAAATATGTACACATCTGTCGTTTTCTTTGTTGAAAATGCAGTTAAAATCACTTTCTCCAATAATCGATATACAAAGACATAGATTAATAGAAGAAACTTTCTAAGAAGTTCTTCACTGAGGCTTTAATTGTTAATGCACATATTTGTTTTTACCACTCTGATTGCGAATAAAAATAGGACATACAAATTGATTTTCGATTTTTATAGACACCTCTTAAAAACAAGGAAGTTGATATCGCAGTGTTTTGCTTATCTTTAATGGGAACCAATTGTTCAGAATTCTTGTATGAAGCGAATCGCATTTTGAAATCTGGGTAAGCTGTTCAATGTGTTGTTTCGATTTTGAAATGAGACTGCTCTAAAAATTCTTTCATAGAATTATATGGTATACGTGCTCATGTAGCCAGTTTTTCATCGGTATAACCTAACTCATGAAATCTCAAAATCTGGAATGATAGGTTTTCAAAGAAAGTGGAATAAAGGCAATATCACACAGCTTCCACCCAATAAAGTACAGTTTTGAGCCCCACTTTACCCTATTTAGTTTTGTCAGCTATCAAGTAATATTAGAACCCTTAGTTCATTAGGTTTGGCTGAAATCTGAACACAAGAACACCTATTTGGCAACGTAATTATATCGCTACCAAATGCCATGGTATGGCCGAAAGTGGGGAGACTCAACTCTCCCTCTCGAAATCCTTTCACATGGCTACATGCATACAACCATTGCCAGGGAATTCCTACTCACTGCCTTCTCGCGGTGAGGGTGTTGTTTACGAATTTGAGAGAATGAAAAGCAAATATCCGGTGCTTTAACCGGATTGGTGGGTATAGATTACCCAATTAGGGGAGTTGAAAAACACTGTTTCTAAACTAATAGTGTACATGGGGTCCAGGATCCTGAGGGAATAAATGGCGTGTGAACCAATCGTTGGTTACCGGTTACCATGGGACTGCATCTCCTGACGTTATTTCACTGCCTTGTGTATTATACATTTAGGTCGAAGACTCGGGATGTCCCCTCTTAAGAAAACCACCTGCTGCGGTTTGGGCACCCTGGTAGTATCCTAGCCCTCACAAAAATCGAATAATTTGTGTGGCGCATATCTGTTTGGTGCCTTTTTGTACCGATATTTATGTTTAAATAAATAAATAATTATATTAATCTTATAACATTTGTTTCACAAATACATTTGAGTGCTCTGGGAGCTAGTTGGTTATGCTCTTCTTGATAGTCCTGATGTACTCAAGAACGTTACACCAAAAAAGTAAATTTTCTATTTGTGCAGGTCAGACTTATACCACTAGTCCATCATTATGTCAAGACTTGACACTTTTAGTCGAGTTGAACTTCACAATATCCAGTATCTCTCACTTTCGTTAAGTTTTATTTACTTTTCCGGAAAATTTTACACTAGTAACCGGATGTCGTATGACAGATAATTTGGCTTTCAAAGCAGTTTTTCTTTTGGCATATGATGTGTAGTTAAAGACATTTCATGATTGTTTGTTTTAAAGGTAACGAGACTGCATAAAAAATAGTTTTTTATTCGAAATCCTATTATTTTCGTTTAGAAGCTGTGATATAACACATAGGTATGGCAAAAATGGTTATCTCTTTTTGTTTATTTGCTTCGTGTTGGGAAGTGTATGTTTCTTGCTGAAGGCGGTCACGTGGAATCCCGTGATCAAAGTTACATTTTACTCACCATTCTGCTTCGGGATTTCGAAAAATAAGTGCATAATAAACAAAAAATAAAATAGAGCTTTGTATACAGGAATATAGTTGAAAAATTTTCATTGTGGCTAATCTGCTTGGTTTATGAAATGATCACTAATTCTTATTCTTCACATTAGTTGAACTCAATGATTGATGAAATTTCTTCACTTGGAATTAACTTCACGTAATCCTTTGTTTACAAATTCTTTTCAGTGGTGTTCTGATAATCGTTGATGTAACTAGCAGATTTGATGGAAAATTCAATGATTTTTTGAAAAAGCTAAAGCGTTATGGGTTCGCTAAACAATTTTCAGAGATAACTAGCGATACGTACTTTGTTCGTGCTCTTCTTCGCAAAGTATCTTCTTGTTCCTCAGAGCTTGTGCACAGTTTACCGAAACTAAACTTGAAACCATGCTCCTATAAAAAAAGATGATTAACATTTGTTTTTTTGTACATTATTTCTTTAAATATACACGTACCTATTAGAGTTCAACTTTTCAACTTATCTGATTGTACTTGTTCGACCAATGTGAAAATGTTTACTTTCAGAGCTTCGGTATTGTTTCATTTTTAATTCATGGAAACTATTATCGCTCACGTTCGTGAAGGGAATCTTCATGAAGTAAAATTATGGTTAGATGATATAGAAAACGATGTAAATCAGGGCGACGAACATCGGTTCAGCCTGTTACATTGGGCTGCACGTGAAGGACAAAGAAATATAGTTGATTTATTGGTTATTCGTGGAGCTCGTATTAACGCTACAAATATGGGTGATGATACAGCTTTACATTTAGCCGCAGCTCATGGACATTTTGATGTTGTACACTATTTGTTAAATTCTCACCGACTAAATGTGGATGCTGCAAATGAACATGGTAATACAGCTTTACACTATGCTTGTTTTTGGAACCATTTAGAAATTGCTGAAGTGAGTCTTGTTGTTTAATTTATGAACCTATCTGTTTAAATTTTTGTAATGTTTCTGAGTTAGTTGAAAATAGAACGTATCTAGGCAAGAATTGATCTCAGCTTCACTCTGACTTCTGCTCTATTATCTGCTAAATTCGATTTTCATTTGGAACCTCAACACGTAAAGACACACCCACCTTAACTCTTTGCAGATAGGATGTAACTATTATCCAGCATTTTAGTGTTAATTTTTGTCAACCTGTATCACTGTAGATGCAGGCGTTTTAAACAGTTTATTTCAAACATTAATTTTTTCATTTATACTTCAAAATTTACTACTTTGTGGTTGATTTTATATCTACCTAGTCGATGTTGAAAGTTATAGTACTGGATTAGTCTTACCCCAAATACTGTATCTTAAATGTGTAACCGATATATTTCTACATACATTTCGTCTGTGTTACTCCCAAACCTTAAATTAGCAATCTATCAAATGGAAAGTTATTCATTTATTCAGTTCCGTTAACTTAGTTTTAGCGATCCTGTTCATATAACGAATGTATCAGTCAGTCAGTCAGTCAGTCAGCTAAAACGTAGGACCAGGCACATATATGCATCGGTTTAAGTTGCCACACCTCATTAACACAACAAGATGGACACCGGATTCATAAAAGTAGTTAATTCAGAGGGTGTAATATATAAAAGAAAGATTGCATATAAAGGATATAGTACAGGAAGAAAGAATTAGTTCGTAGAAAGAAAGATATGAAGCGATTTTAATCTCATAGTTTAAGGGAAATTGAAGAGTGTATACACCGACGCCATTGTGATCGATTCTGAGCCATGTCACCAAGAGTCTCCAACCATTGGTTACGATAGTTACGTGGACCCCAACCAAGTAGTCTGCATCTCCCAACATGACTCAGACTAGAAGTTAGTGACTTCAAGCACTGACGCCACGTTTTGGTTTGGCCACCCCTAACATTCTTCCAACCATCCCGAACACCGGTTAGCATTGCGCGTCGTGGTAGTCGGTGTTCGGGCATACGTAACACGTGGCCCAACCATTTCAGTCGATGAAGATTCACAACCTCATCAACTGATTTGCCATCAATCCCTAATACCCTGTGTCTAACCTCAGTATTACTTACCCGGTGATCCCAGCAGATGCCAGCAATATTTCTAAGGCATCTGTGGTCGAATACTAGTAGCTTAAGAGTGTCTTCTACTCTTAATGGCCATGTTTCGCTGCCGTAAATTAAAACAGAACGGACTGCCGCGCAGTATACTCGTCCTTTTATTGATAGACGGATATCTCGCCTTCGCCATAGGCGACGTAAGTTGGCAAAAGCCAAACGAGCTTATCGAATCCGTGCTGAGATTTCGTCAGACACCAACCCATTAGGGCTGATCAGACTTCCAAGATAAGTGAAGTTATCAACGCGTTCGACTGCTTCACTCCCTATCCTTAGTTCAGGTGTTGACGCAGACCAGTCCTGAAGCAACAACTTGCATTTAGAGGGAGAGAAGCGCATTCCAAACATTCTGGCATTGTTGCTTAGTGCTACCGAAAGACTCTGCATTTTATCAGCGTCTTCACCAAACAGGACTATGTCATCTGCGTATTCTAAGTCGATAAGTGGACCTCCTGGATGGAGATCAATACCCGAGAGTTCAGTAGACGAGAATGTTATTTCCATCAATAGGTCTATGATGAAGTTACAAAAAATGCATCAAGTTATAAATATTATTTGTATAAGCATAATTTAAAGATTTTATGTTCATGACATGTATATGTAAGCAACAAACACAAGGTTGATATAATCTAGTGCATTCTCAACGAATGTTTTGTGATTCATATTTATTAATTTATGCTAAAATTTTATGTCAAATAAATTCTGGAAATTTTTATACTTGAGTATAAATTTTGTTTCATAAGATTATACTTGAATCATCATACACTAAATTGTTTTTCTTTCATCTCTGATATATATCCATTTAGAAATAAAAGGTGAACTAGACCTTAATTTAAGAGACAAATCCTATTGCATGATCAGTAGTGTCTTATCATAAATGTTAGAATACTTATTTGTGTAACTACATTGCATTAACTTAAACGGTTGGTTTCCAACTATCTTATCACCGGCACATTTATTTAGGTGTGAACAGCAAGACATCATTGTTGGTTTTCTCACAATTGGTTCGTTTTCTAGAATAATATATCAACGTACATTTAGCTGCTAAATTGCTGTATAATCGAATATAGTTATATTTTTGAATTTCCACTAGTAATTGAATCCAGGATGTGCGTTTTGTACTTGTGTCTTAACGTCATGATACTCACACTGAGACTCAAATCCGCTATTTATAGCCTTGAACAGCAACGCACTATTCACAAAGGCACTGTGTTTATGTAACCGTTAACTCAAAATGTATGAATATATTTGTAAGAGTTTAGATTACGTTGCTAGTAGCAATTCACAAAATATACCAAACCCTGCATATATAGAACTTGTTAAGGGAACAGCTCATGATGTAGACATGCCAACAGAAACTAATCCCATGAAGTCCTGAACATCAACAAGAAGATACTGCATCTTCATACAAGTGTGATTAGTTCACGTTATGCCCTACAATCATTTAGCATCACTACTTCTTGTGTGTTTCGGCTTATATTTTCAACCTAAATAATCACACTATTTAAAGTAGACAGACTTAGGTGATTCTCAATAACCATCAAATAACTATTCGCTCACCTGAAAAAGTGGGGAAACCAGAATCAGGGACTTTACAGTTCGAGAATTGAGTTGTCGTGATGGTTCTGCCAAGATGAGGCACCAGAAACCTATATCCCTGAATAATTAACAGCTCATATCACCAGAGATTGAAAGAGTTGGAAATGATCGCCCCTAACAACAGCTACCTTCATTTCCATTTAGATTCAGTGCTATTGGATTATAAATTGCTAATAAAAAGTGGTGTATGACTAGCTTCAACCAGTTAATAACATTTTAAGGTGGCCGGGGTCATCGATAAGGATCCCTTTCCTTTTTCACGCATTTCCTGAGGGAGAAGTAAGTACCTACTGGGAAGAAATCATTGACATGTATTACATTATTTTGCGATGTTAATAAACTATATTATTGATCTCTGAATAAATATACATCTGTGTTACTATCTGCACATCAAACGATTATAGGTTAAACTGTATGAAAGGAGTAATTCTCCAGCTAACCATTTACTGTTATTAAAAAATTTATAAACAGTCATTTTATCTGTCTATCTTAGTTCTCAAATAAGCAAGCTGAATTTGATGGTAACTTTGAAATATTTCACATGTGTAAGCTGACTACCATTTATTTCTTAGTCACTTCAGTTCTCTGCAATCATTTAGCTTCACCGCTTCTTGTGTATTTCGGCTTATATTTTCAACCCAAATAATCACACTACTTAAAGTAGACAGACTTAGTTAGGTTATCCCGATTCGGAGTCGCATCACGAGAAATTGTCTTTGAGATTTCCGGTGAAGTGTGAATTTTGAGTTTAATTCACTGAAAACAGGATTGTTTATTTGGTTTTGAGTCAGAATTCCCTCGTATTTTTTAGTGATGCTTAGTAATCCGGTTGCCCAAGAGCATCTCTAGTAGAGGTCTTCCCTTTGATCCTAGGTTTATTGATTCCTCATAATTTTCTAAAAGTATTCGACTAGTTAATATCTTACCTAATCATATCTTCGATGCCTAACGTTGTACATGGCGTGTGACTGGCCAGTTGCTCAAAATAAGAACAGAATCCTAAGGTGTCGTTCAATGGACTGCAGTTTGGTCACTTTAATCTCTAAGGCACAAAATTTTGTGGCTTGAATCCGAAAACGAGAACTGCTACTTAGTAAACAAATACCACAGTATTAAAAGGTTAAAAATTGGATTAAAATTAGTGAAATTAGATAGTAGCAAAAATATATTGTGACGCTGTATCCAATTTTTAGTCATTCAGCTATAGTTAACCCATAACCTGAAAGTTTGAATTTACGAGGAACTGTTTTATCGAAACTTAATTACGCACACCTGTTACCCCCGATGGAGGAGCATTGACCACCCATCAGGATTTTTTAACCAGTTCTGTCCTGGACTCTCCTCCATACTTATTTCCAAGTACTATCCATTCTTTTGATATCTGCCTCGAATCCCCGACTCAATGTGTTCTTGGGCCTTCGTTTCCTTTTCCATTCACTACTTCTAGTTAGGACATGACTCGTGATGCAGTCTGACGATTTCCTCAATATATGTCCTATTCAATTCCAGTGTCTTTTCCTAATTTCCTCTTCAGTTGGAAGTTGGTTTGTTCTCTCTCACAGTAGGTTGTTTCTCGTGGTTTCCGACCAACGGATTGTGTAGACAATTGTTTATAGATACGTGTAATTTTTTATGATGGTTGTAGTGGTTCTCGAAGTTTCGGCTCCGTACATGAGAACTGTCTCGACATTTGTATTGAATATTCCGATGTTGATGTTGACTGACAGTTGTTTTGAGTTTGATATGTTTCCCTCGCTTTTCCGACCCTTACGTTTTCATCTGTATCAGATCCTCCTTATTTATCCATGATGCTGCCCAGATATATGAATTCTTCACCTCTTCCAGTGCCTCTGCATCAAGTGTGATTGAATTTGTATTGACTGTGTTGTATTTGAGTATCTGGCTTTTCCCTTGTGTATGTTGTAGTTTACTGCTGCAAATACTGGTGTTACAGTGGTCATCTATGAAGTCTAAATCATCTAGTTGCATCCAAGCTATCTACTGTATTATGTGTTTCACTTGAGATGCGAAGATTTTCATAATCCAGTCAACCACCAGAAGGAAGAAGAAAGACGAGAGCAGACAGTCTTGTCTGTGACATATATTGATTGTTGTGCTAGTTTACAGAAAGGTCATCGGCTTCAGGGTTTTGGAAAAATATCGACGTTCACTATGAAGCATCACGACTATCCTAAATGAATATCATTTAACTCCCAGGACAAAGTTCAAAGGGTTTAAAATTACTAATTTTGGTTAATTTTGTTCTTGGAAAATTCGTTTTTTACGGGATAGGATTGCTGACCCCGTGCCCAACCATCCTCTTTTGTTCAGGCTAGAGACATGAAGCAACTCTAGTAGTGCTCCAGTGGGGTTCGGGCGTTAAGGATGTCCCATTTTAAAAATAAGACACACGGATTATAGGATGAGTTATACAAAAGAATTAGGTCACCTAGAGAACGACACCTGTAGATCCTACTAAGGTATTAATTGGTTTTAGCTTTTCCACGTTTAATCAGCAAATACAAATTCAGATTGCAAAATCGATTCATCCCATTATGCAACGGACATGCTGTGAAATTCAATTGTTATAATTGTATTACTCATAAGTAATTAATGGTTTAGTCGCATAATTTCTCCCTTTAATTTCACTGGCCAGTTGTAAACTAGCTTTTCTCCTATCGGTTGATAAACTTTATCTATCTAGCTTTACTGGACTGGTCACTTATGCGCCTATCGGCTTTGAGAGTTAACTGATGTTACCATTGTATTTATAATATTTAGTGTGAATCTAACACCTAAGTAGCAGCTGACAATACCAAGGAGTCAGATAAATCTTGGTAGTAAAATGAAATCGTAAATATGTAACTGAATGCTGAAACGATTCTTTAATTCCAAGTAATAAACAAACAATAAAAGTAATTTAATTGACCGTATCATTAAAAAAAAGACACTGTCACAGTAAACAAACCAACAACAACGATGACAACAATACTATGAAGTGGAAAACAAACAAATTTGATTTAGAAAAAAATAGTAGAGGTAAAAACGTTGAAAAAACATCAATTTGCAATGTAGAAATATTGCTTACATAATGATAGAAAAAACACTAATAACAAAATAGTGACCATGAAAATCAATATGATAATTATTCACGACAAAAATACCCATAATCTCAAAAAGTCGATTATAATGCATGTCGGTTAGTTAAAAGGTTTAAGAAACTAATTTATAATATACTAGTTAGTAGTCTGAATTGAATATAACATGTTATCAGTCTATTATTATTATTATTATTATTATTATTATTATTATTATTATTATTATTATTATTATTATTATTATTATTATTATTATTATTATTATTATTATTACATTCTGCATTCATTCAAGAAGAAATATTTTTTATAATTTTGCAGATTCTATCAGTTTATTAATTAATGTCTAGTTTTAAAATTTCGTATATTATGATGTACTTACACGAAAAAAACTGTGGTTCATTGCTGTAAGCACTAAACCGTGAGGTCGAAATGTTTTTGAACTACCGAGGTTTATATTTAGTATATTGTCCTTAGGTTTACAGGTAGAGATGTATGATGGTTAGCAGTGGAATCCAAGAAGCCTGTTTGGTTTTATCTGGGACTCGTCAACTGGATATATCCTAGAGATGATGGTTCACTTCGGGACTCTAACCAAGTATCGTTCTGTCTAAATGGCACTGCGTTATCCACTTGGCTACTGTGTTCAGATAGCCACAAAATTGTGCAATGAGGTGAAGCTTAATTCATTTCTATTGGTTGTTTAGGTCTTTCCATTACTATTTAGGACTGCAACTGACCAGTCTCTTACTGGTATTTGTGCATTCTGTGCGGAATGCCTCGAAATTACCTTAAGTCACAACCAATATTAACAGAGAAGGATGGTGCCAAAAAGATACTGATCAGTTGCAGTCCTAAGCATCAATACGAAGATTCAAACAACCAATAGAAATAAATTATTCTTGGGTTTGTATGACATTAAAGAATAAAATGTGCAATTAGCCAATCGATACATGTTCTTTAATAACAATGAGGAAGCTCAAAACAAACGGACGAATTTTTTAAGAATGCAAACATGACCATCTATCGTTTCGCTATAGTTATGTAAGGTTACAGTGACTTCGTATGAATATATTTATTCATCCAAACAATAGAACCATACATTCATTAAGTAATTTTTGTTCGCATTCTAATTGATTTGATGAAAACTCGTACAATTTATTCCATAGTTCATTCAACTTTTGACTCTCATCCTTTAATTTCTCATTAGTTCTTCATGTAATGAGATACCTCACTGTATAACACGAATCTCTACTATCGTGAATGAATTATTATAATGTTTACGGTACGAATCAATTATCGATCGTGAGAAGTTGGTTCATTTAGCTTCATCCTTGTCAGTATTCACTAACTATTGATTATTTCCGATACTAATTCATTTCATTCAACGGCTCTATCAAGAATTTTAATAATTAGCCAAGGAGATAAGTAACCAATTTTAATTGGGAAATCTTCATTAATAATGGAAAGTTATGCTGGCTCTTATATTTTTTTAGATTCTATACCTTTGGATGGTAGAAAATATTATCCATGAATATTCATCTTTCTTGAAAGATTGTATGTATATATCCTATCATTGTAACATATATTGCACGTTATCGTCCTTTTTTTTACAGTATTTGATTAAAAATGGAGCATGTCTTATGCAAGAAAATAAATATGGTGAAACTCCATTAGAGCTAATTCGTCCACGTGCTGCGGCATTAATTGCTCCATTAGCACAAGCTTTAGGACATGATTTATCTCATCGTCGACCTTTTCGTGATACAAGCTGGATTGGTACAAAAACACGAGCACGAGATGCTACTTTATATCGTCTTGAAGGTGAATCATGGGATCCTCGAGAAGTTGAATTAACAGGTGCCTTAGCTGATGGTCATGGTGCTGAGGTACTGAAAGGTTCATTTAGACGGTGTCCTGTAGTTGTGAAAATGTTAAAACTACGAAATTGTTCAACAAGACAGGTTAGGCTATTATTTTTTCCCAGAGATTCATATTTTCAGTCATCTTTTATATTTCGCTTCTTTGTGTTCTGTTAAATTCATAACCAATTTTGTTCATATTTTACCTTCTACTTTAAACTTGTATCTGTTCATCTCTGTTCAAATGAATTTAACTTGAAATGATTGGCTTTCTAGCTCAGTTAAACAGCTTTAGTGGTTTTGCGTTCGATGAACGCTAGATATCATCACCATCAGTCCGCTTGAAATTAAAGTGAATTCTTATGCAACAGAAACTAAGTATTCTATAAACAAAGGCGGTGGAAGTTTTATAAATAAACCATCCGGTTCACGGCATACAAATCCCTACATTTCTTTCTACGATTTAAAGAAAGTTTAGTGATTTCATTTCCTTATAAATTCTGCTTCAATCATTCCCAAATTATATATATATATATATATATATATATATATATATATATATATCTTCGTTTCAACCGCATTCAGCTTCACAACTTCACTCATTTCATGCATCCTGAAATTTCCATTTACATTTTGAGGTTGTACAAGCCATAATGATACGCTAAACGTTTTTTGGGAATCTCAGTAATCGCAATTTAAGTCTAAATAGAGCTATTCAATGCTAAATTCAGTTCATTTTGTATTGAATTTATAGTATGACAAATGAACTTATCAGAATCAAGACAATGACTCCCAGCTCTTTGAGCGTAATTCAGTCAGTCATTATCAACGTAGAGCCTTGTACATATGTGTTTTGGCTCAAGTTCCCATACCATATAAGCACAACGATATGAAATTGACATAGTGAATAGCTGAAGAAATCGAGATATTGTAGTATATCAATTATGACGAGAAAGACTAAGTATTAAGAATATGGTTTAAAGGGATAGGATGGTTTAGTGCCCCTGAATCTGAATCCATTCGGATCGTATGATGACTGTCATTGAAATATACATATCTCCAATCCTCGCAAATTATTTTCGACCTAAATCGCGTTAGTGAATAACGGGATTAGATAAGTAAAATGCGAGAACGGATTTTGAATAGGTATATTTTGTACAATCGTTGATCCAGCCAAACGATCGGAGTAGCGAAAGGAAGAGAGCGAAGAGAAATGACGCGCAGTGGACAAGGCGAGTGAGCCAACTCAATTTAATCAAGCGTTAATTGATGAGTAAGTTATGAAACACACACATACGCTTACATAAAGACAGTCAAGATTGACAAGTGAATAATTAAAAAGGTCAAAATGTAACTTGAGGGGAATGGATAAGTTGGTTTGTCCAGAAGTTAGAATAAGCTATAGGGGCTCGACATAGGACCAGCCACTACAATGGAAAGGTATATCCAAAGAAATGCTAGAACTCAAGAAGTAGAAAAAGAGCAAACGGTTCTTTGCAACTGTAAACAACTCCGAGCCACGTCATCCAACATCTGCACACACTGATTGCGGTTATCTCACTGATCCTAGGTATCTTGCTTTTTCTAGCAATGTTTAAAAATTGATAAGAGTTGACTACACAATGCTCAAAGAGTTCAAGATTTGCATAAAAATCCTTTTATTCAAATAGAATAGAAATAGGATGGTATGAAATGGAAATTATACTTTCAGCGTACTTTATCTGATTCAGGACATTTTTCAATATTGTTATCCAGTTATTACTTCAGTGTAAATTTAACCTATCTCCGGATGAAAATTTAACTAAATTACTCGCAGTCCACATCTCGTTTTAGATATAGAACCTACTAGGGATTGTATCATATTTTTTACACCTTCCATCTACAAAATTCATAGGCACGTGATTTCAAGGATGAATTCCCGAAACTTCGCATCTTTAATCATCCCAATATACTCCCAGTATTGGCTATTTTTACTGCCACGCCACGTTTATGCCTTGTCAGTGACTTTATGCAATATGGAAGTCTTTTTGATGTTTTACACCAACCAGCTGAAGCCAATATACACGGTACAACTGAGATAAGTCATCGACAAGCTTTACGATTTGCTGTTGACATAGCCAAAGGTATGGAGTTTCTACATTCACCAGAATTAAAAGTTCCCAATTTTCGTTTGAACTCCAAACATGTAATGGTAGGTGCTATCATTGTTTTTTATCGAAATTCGTTTAAGATAACCTATCATTTACTGTTTACTAATTTATACTTATATTACTTATTGTTATTTAGTAATATTTCGTGTTATGAATACTGTTTTTATACAAAGCATCAGTGCATTCTGTTCATCATAAATTTGACGAAATTAGTTAATTTTACTAGATATCTAAAAATAATTTAGTTGTTGGTATTAGTGCCAAGATTCAAATTGAGCATTGGGTAGATAGTTAATAATGAATTGTATTTCTGGAGTTTCGTGACAATGTAAACCTTACTTACTCACGCCTGTTACTCCCAATGGAGCATAGGCCGCCGACCAGCATTCTCCAACCCACTCTGTCCTAGGCCTTCTTTTCTAGTTTCATCCAATTCTTGTTCATTTTTCTCATGTCTATTTCCATTTCTCGGCGTAATGTGTTCTTTGGTCTTCCTCTTCTCGTTTGGCCTTGAGGATTCCATGTGAGGGCTTGTCTTGTGACTCAGTTGGGTGCTTTCCTCAATGTGTGTCCTACCCACTTCCAGCAATTCTTCCTGATTTCTTCCTCCGGTGGGATCTGGTTTGTTCTCTTCCACATTAGGTTGTTACTGATGCTGTCCGGCCAACGGATCTGAAGTATTTTGCGTAGACAACTGTTAATAAACACCTGTATTTTCTGGATGATGGCTTTCGTAGTTGTACAGGTTTCCGCTCCATAGAGTAGAACTGTTGTGACATTTGTGTTGAAAATCCTGACCTTGGTGTTGGTTGACAGCTGCTTTGAGTTCCAGATGTTCCTCAGTTGTAAATATGCTGCTCTTGCTTTGCCGATGCGCGCCTTCACATCTGCATCAGATCCACCCTGTTCATCAATGATGCTGCCCAAATATGTAAAGGTTTTTACATCTTCCAAATCTTCTCCGTCAATTGTGATTGGATTGGTGCATTCTGTGTTGTTTCGGAGAATCTTGCTTTTCAGTTTGTGTATATTGAGACCTACTGCTGCCGAGGCTGCTGCTACACTGTTCGTCTTCTCCTGCATTTGTTGTTGCGTTTGGGATAGAAGGGCCAGATCATCCGCGAAGTCTAGATCGTCCAACTGCATCCTAGATGTCCACTGTATCCCGCGTTTCCATTCAGACATTGACGTCTTCATGATCCAGTCGATCACCAGGAGAAAGAGAAAGGGTGAGAGTAAGCAACCTTGCCTAACACCGGTCTTCACTTCGAACGACTTTGTCAACTGTCCTCCATGCACGATTTTGCAGTGTAATCCATCATATGAGTTCTGTATGATGTTGACTATCTTCTGAGGCACGCCGTAGTGTCGAAGAAGTTCCCATAGTGTTGTTCTGTCCACGCTATCAAATGCCTTTTCGTAGTCAATGAAGTTGATGTAAACCACTTCAGCATAAATAAATAACCAAATTAAATTAACACGTGTAAATGGTACAAAAAATGCAGAATCAAAATCATAATAGGTCTTAATATCAAGTTATTCTTCGTCAAGTTGAATTTGTATAATCTGTCACTGTATTAATTTGTGCGTCAGAATGTTTGTATGGAAACTGTATGCATTTGTAATATGAAGTAGTGGGGATGAAATTGTACATATATATATATATATATATATATATATATATATATATATATATATATATATATAGATTATATGGAAATAAATAAGGTCATATGTGATTGTTTGGATACCAACTAGCTTCCATAGCAAACATTATTTTGTAACACAGTCAGAGAGATGATTCTTACATCTCATGACTCCTTGAAGTAAAAAAGAACTCGTATATCCAGTTTTTATTTATTGTTTCATCTCAATTCGCTTGGTTGATTCATGAATGTTATGCAACCCAATAGTTTGAGACATTAAGTCTGTTTCAGATTTGAAATCAGTATCTTATTGCATAGTTTATGATCATGATGTGATGCATATTTGACAGAATATTTACTCTAGTTATTTTCTTATATGGATTTCATCTCATATAATTCCTGTTATTTTTATATCAACATAGAAGATCGTTTTCTCTCTTTTTCTATTTCTCCACAACACCACTCAATAGACCGAATTATTCCGTTTTTGCTCAGGAATTCAAACAACCTTGGCTCATGGTTTCGTTATGATTACCTCTAGCTAGCCAACATCTCAACATGGTGTATGGGATTAGTGGCCGTATTGCAACGTGCTCGGTAGGATCTGAACAGTACTTATAAGAACTAGGCAGACATGATATTAGTCACTACACAATGGTTAGTCTATTGTAACTAACTCAGTCCATCATTGTGTCATTCGCTGCCAAGATAACTTGGCGGTATCATCTCAGACTATGAATCTTGGTGGCGCTAGGTTCAAACTCCATGAAGACCATCATTTTCCCCGCGATTTTAAGGACTCCCTACTTGATTAACGCTAACTAGTATGAAACTGAAATCCAGTTTCCTACCAACTACCTCCAATCATCAACATACATTCAAGGACAGATTGCATTAATAATTCTTATTTTTACTCCAAAAGATGTTTATCACATCTTTAAGTTTTTGCTGGCTTCATAAGAAGGTCAGCAGACGTTCAATTATAACACGAAGGAATGTATAAATAAATATTTTTTAGTTGGTTATTATTACTTACCCCATATACCTAGTATTCTTTTTCTACTGTTGCCTTTATTCTTCAAACTTATCAGTACGCACTAAACTTATATATGTATAGTAGAAAGATATCGTTTGTTTAAAATGGGGTGTATTGTAAACAATAGAAATAATTTTGGCACAAGAATAGTCTCATATTGTAGTAATTTTATATTCTAAAATCTATTATTAACACGACTTATTTCATTAGTGTATCACCATCACGAATTTACTATGTGTTTAACATTAAATGTAACTGTCAAATTTCGTTAAGCAACAAAAAAAGCCTAGATAAATCGATTAATGCTAATTAACATTGTTACTGTATTTACTACACATTGCGATTGTGTTATAATGCAGTATTTGCATACTGAAGCGTGTACAAATATATGCGGATCGTAAAGAGGTTATAAACGTACACAACAACTCAATTATTGAAGCATTCCCCTACGAAATACAAAAAACTGCATAATTGATCAGAGAATTATATAACTAATGAAATTTCAGGTCAACGAAACAAACTATTAGTCAATTGTTAGAAAATTCTAATAGCCCACTTCTCTTCAAAGTACGCGCTGATGATTTTGTTCGAAAGGACGATGAAAGCTTTACAACCAATTCATCCAGCTCAGAGACCACAACACCTCATCCTGAGGTGCAAACCATCCCATATAAATTCTATTCAATCATATATCACGCTTATGTAAAATTTGTAATATTAAACAAACACGATTAGAATGTACAAATACTATGGTTCATCTACACACAATGATGAAATCCGAAAGTCATCGAATATTCAGTTAATTTGAAACCTCAAACGTCGTTCATTTTTCTGTTCATTTTATGTGAAAACTAGACTAGAAATTTTCTTCAGTTTTCTAATTAGATTGGTAAACGTTGGTTCCACGTCAAGTTCCTTTACAGTTTCAATCAAAAATCCATGAATTCATTGAGTCAGCAGTCTCAAACTGAAAGCAAGTCTTCGGTATTTGTTTGTAATAAAATGCAAATTGATAGATAATTGGAGAAGTTGAGTACTGTAGCTTATCTGGTTAACATCGTGTTGTCCGAAATGCTTTTTCTCACCCTATTTTTCAGTCATTATCTTTATGCATTTGTCCGCAGTTAAAATTGTGCCCAAAATTGTCCACATTGTATTGATATAAACGAAGACATATCATCACAATTGATAGACAATTAAGCAAAGACAGAAATCATTTTGTTGGATATGGCACATTACAATTCCTGTAATTTGTTTTATGTATTATATTTTGAAAGCTTATATCAGTGCATATGGACAATTAAGTATACAATGTTGACTGTGAAAACTATGACCTTGAACAGACTCAACAAAAAAAGATGATAGAATTTTTAAGAGCACGCTAATCGTGTCAGGTAAGAAAAACGATTTAAATATATCTATGCAAATCGTTATGTCCCAATTACTCTGTAAAACTGATCTCATTCCATTTCGCTGTTAGTTATTAATGGAAAAATTCCAATAACTTCTAATTAAGGTTTATGTCGATGATATCCAAAACCTAAGCTAATGAACATGTCACAATTATAGTATTCAGTTTAGGAAAATGAAATCTAGTATTGAAGTCATTTCATTCTATTCGTTTATACACTTCTATGAATCTATCTACTTCATGAAAAGTTATACTCAGTGGCGGTTTTTCCCCCCTAATCTACTTAGATTGTTCATGTAAGTTCTTTTTATATCACCAACCGCTATTGACTACTACCACTTTAGTGAACGAAAACACTAGTGGGGACAACCAAATATATCTGGCTATAAAATTACAGAATCTTGTACTAAAATCTGAGAACCATACATTAATTACTTCATTTGCAAAATGTCAATCAATTGTCTCACACTTGATTGTTCCTTCATTTCCACACCAATCACTCTCTGTCCTCGTCCAATTCTCTTCGATTTTCTCAACTTTCTGCCGCCAGTCATTTCACATTCGATTAGTAATACATACTACTTATATCTGTCGACAGCTGTAGCACACATCATACTACTACCGTTCTAAATTATTTGCTTAACTTTCTTCTTCTTCTTCTTCTTCTTCTTGTTCTTTAAGAAAATCCATAAAATTAATAATCTATCAGCCATAGTGTAAGGTACACACTAGTGGTAACATAACCTATTATTATCTTTTTATTCACACACTTCTCTTAGAAAATATATGATAATGTGAATAGAACAGTATTATTCATTAATTGTAAGAATAAATCAATGCTAATTTCCGTATACACATATTAATCTGCTTATCTTTATATAAGACGTATATTGTTGTACTCATTGTTAACCTCTAATTGTTTTAATCTCTACTTGTGTATTAATTAAGAATCTTTAGTAATAGCTACTTTGTTTCTAAGGTAAAATTACACATAAATTTAACATGTTCACGCCTTAGAAAAAAGATTATTCTTAGAATGTTGAAATCTGTCTTAATTAAAAAAAAGAATTTCATGCATATGAGTTTATTTTTGTTAGAAATAGCCTCTACCAGGGAAGTCCTACTCACTGTCTTCTCGTGGCGGGGGTGTTGTTTACAAAATTGAGAGGACGAAAAGCGAATGTCCGGCGCTTTAACCGGGTTGGTGGACATGGAGAGTTTACCTAGGGGAGTTGGAAAACCCTGATTTCAAACCAATGGTTCACATGGGTTCCGGTATCCTAAAGGAACAAATGGCGTATGAACCAATTTTTATCTCCTGACGTTGCTCCACTGCTTTGTGGATCAGACCTTTAGGTCGAAGGCTCCGGGTGTGGCCCCCTAGGAAAACCACCTACTTCGGTTTGGGCACCCGGGCAGTATCAAAGCTCTCACACATATCAAATGAGATTTGTATGGCGCATATCTAATGGATGTTTCCTTGTACCAATATCTATATGTTAAAATAAACACAATAAGTGTTAAAAATGAAATCATGTTTGGTTTCCTGTACATAAAATCAAGTTTGTAAAATGATCTATTTCAAAATGTTAGTGTATATTTGACAAAGTTGAAGTACATCATAATAAAGTGATTACACAGGTATTAATACCAAGATTAAACTTAAGCATTGATATAAGAGAGTTAATAATAAATATATTTTTATTATATCCTTTGTACTTGTGTTAATTGAATTTCGGTTATTTATATACTCTGAAGATATGTGGCTTAGATTAAGTCACAAAACGTTAGAAATATAATTTTTCCTACTCATTAAGATATAATAAAATTATCATTAAAGAGAAAGAATGTATTTGTAAAATCTCAGCGAAAGAATTTGAAGTAAATCCAATGTTTCGCCTGGCAATCTGGTCCAAGCTTTTTCAAGGAAAATATAATCAAACAACAAAATTATCGAATATAATATTCAAATTCTTTCGCTGAGATTTTACAAATACATTCTTTCTCTTTAATGATTCACATTTACTCGGCGCCTAAATATTGTGAAACTATTCGTTCAAATTTAGACGGAAGTTCTTATTTATAATAAAATTATATTTATTATAAAGTGATTTCATCTTTCTTTCTATTATGTTGTTCATACTTTTTATTAAACAAAAAGAGATTTATTTTCACTTATTATGGGTTTTTTTTGTCTTGATCATTTTTTTTTTTACAGTCTTTCAACTATCAATATATCTCTTTGATAACTCTTAGTTTGCTACACAGTTTTTCTTAAATAACTAATTTATTAGGTAATGGCTCATATACTTTGCTTCCAGGTATAAAGACAAGTAATAATACCTTGTCTTCTAAACCAAAGAAGGTGGATTGCGTGGTTTGTATCTGGGGAATTCATGGTTAGAAGTCGAATGTCTTAATTACTGTTCCATCGCTCCACATACTACACAATATGTGTAACTCAGCTTTATTATTAGAATATGTATGTAACTATAGTGTTACAGTTTTTTAAAGTATTATTTCTTTATCATGCTCTACAGAAATGTATTATCCTTCTACGATGTGAACAACCAGTAACTATCTATGTTATAGATTATGACTTGACGAATGAATTAGGTTTGTATTTGTTAAAATAAATGAATAAACTGCAGTATTATATATATATATATATATATATATATATATATATATATATATATATTGTTAAACCTTAACGTGGGCTCAGTTCATGAAGTCATAGACGTTTGGTCGAAATCATGGTGGTAAACTTAGACTACCTCTTTAGGGTCTTCTTAATAACTATGATCAGTAGCAGAGACGTTTGGTGATGTGGTTCTGAATCAGTCACGGTTACCCAGATGGAATTAATCTTCACGATCTTCTAGATCTTAATTTCCACTATATTTCATACATACCTTTCCATTCTGTCTTCTTGAACCATATTCTTTATTTTTGATCTTTTTCACCATCATTGATACTCCTGTAGTAATTCCATTCAACTGCTGTATTATTTATCTGCTCATTGTAATTTAGACACCTAATCCACTATGTAATTTTCTGTGTGAGTCTGATTGAGCACATGTCAGTTTTTAATCTATTCCCTCATTGGTTGTAATATACAGACAATCAATAATTTATCCATACCACATAAATGTATATTGATTTTTAACCCACACTCTTGGTTTCCCTGTGTGCTTGCTTCGTGTACGCTTACGGATTTTACCAATCTTTAACAATAAACTGTCTCTATAACTGGTGTTCATGTTTTTGAATAATCTCGAGTAAATCCGTAATTCTACTAGGAGATTTAGCCTGCATTAAATACTCAGTTAACGGGATACAATTTTTTGGAGTCAGATATAGGGGAAATTAGCCTCTACACTCCCATTATTACAACTTCTTTACTATTTATTATGTTAATTTCATAATCCATTTGTGGAATAGATTAAAAAGATTGTTTCCTCGTACCATACACTTTTTTGTGATTAGTCGATGTATTTAGGTAGTTTTTGGCAAGAAATATTTTATATTGATAGATATTCATGTCTGTTAGTTTGCAACTTTGATAAAATAACTAAACAGACTCGAACAATGAAATTCTAAATCTCCTAACTATTACTTTCGGAATATTTAATCCATATATTTGTAGTATTATCGACTTCGAAGTAAAAGGTTGACTGTTGTAAGTAGGAAACTAGAAAAGACTAAGTGTTATCGAACAGTCTAGAAAGGCATTTGCTATTAATCTGAGTTATGCGGAAAAAGCTATAAATCTGCTTGTTTAATTTCATTGTGTTAAAAATCAATGATTGTAGAGCCTGATGGTTGAACCTAGTAGCTCATAAAGTCTTCAATTTTTTTCTTCATTTCGAATCGTTACTTTGTATCTACTTTTTCATATATCCTTAAACATTTATTTTTCATTTTAACATTATTAATAATTTTCTTTTCTGTGTTGTTTTGAAATATGGCAAATCAAACTGACCTATTGTCTTTGTGCTATATAAACAATCCTTGTAATTGTTTCATGGTGATAAATGTTGTATAACTTCACTTCGGTTAACAGTGTTTGGTTTCAGTGACTAACTATTAGAACACATTATTGTGTATATATTATTCAAAATATTTTTATTATCTAGTATAACTTATTCCCTGAGCTTAGACAATGATGATCAGTAAACATTTCAATATCAAGTTAGTTAATGACCACTAATTAAACTTGTTTTTTTTGTTTTGTTTTATCAATGATTATTAATTGCAAGTGCGTATACTAATCGATGTGAACCTAAGATATAGCATATCCTAATGGTAATTTATAAACTAAACTGTATGTACTTTTCATTATATTGACTGGATATTTCTTTTGTGTACAATACTGAAAATTCATCATGTATATTAGCTGATTTTTCATCTTACAGTGGTATACAGCAGATAGACTCAATCTAATCTATGCAAATATGATATTTACCATTGAATTTTTAAAAAGTTTGACTTTACAAAAATTACTTGTAAATATATATTTTTATTGTAATTTAGGTAGACGAAGATATTGCTAAAATTGGTGTTTGGGATACAGTTGATACTGTTACACATGGACAGAATATACAACAGTCAATTATACCTGATGAATCGTTAATTGCTCGTTTAGATATGGCAGATTACAAATTTTCATTTCATGAAAAAGCTCGAGAATACAATCCAGCTTGGATGTCACCTGAATGTATGTGTAATAAACATTATATATTATTGATATTGCAAACCGATATTAGTCAACTATTAGAAACCTAGAAGCTCTAGTCATATGTTTCGTCCTATTATAGGATTCTTCAACTAGTTTGCGTTTACGACTCCATCCTAAGGAGTCGATTTCACACGAACGCTTGGTCTTTAAAACATTAAGGCAAAATCTAATAGTTTCCAAGTATAATTTCAATCAGTCGAAAGTATTGAGCGACTGTCTTCTGTTGTTTTCGGTGTGTATCTTTCTTACACTCGACATGGTTGGACTTCGCTACTTACAGCTACCCATTAAAACTCCTGAAATTTTCTTTTTAAGCTCGTCATTAGTGAACACATGATAATTATTGATATGGTGTTCATGAATCTCAGTAAAATTCTCCCACTCAAGTGTGATTGTAGATGAAAGTGGTTCGTTTATTAGAAAATTTCACTGTGTAATCGACACCTCATACAAAATAATCAAATCTTGCGCCATTTCATGAAACGTCTTCAACCATATGTTATGATTATCCCTTATATAACCTAAAAGGTTGTACCTGCTGGTTATGGATGAAGAGGATGTGAATTTTGGCGAACCGATAAAATCAAAGTTAGCAAGTATTTGATTTTGAGGCGAAATACATCCATCCATATGGTTAAATAGAATCTGGGCATTATAGCTGATGTCAGTTCTCAATGAAAACCTTAACTCTAATTCCTAATCCTGACTTTTAACTGTTAATCCTAATCCTAGTTGCTCGCACTAACTTATAATTTTCGTTTGACCCTAGTAGATAAGTGACTTTTCTCCAGGTCACTTTAGCATCGCTCAAAGGTCGTTCATAAGTTATGGTCTCATTTTACAGATCAGTCCGGCAACTGATAACTTTATGGACCAATATTTATCTTTATCTCGTTAATCGTAGCTTTTTCCTAACTTACTCTTTCACTAACCAGCACTATGCGTTAAGTTAGACAGTGTTTGAAGGATGCGTAGCATATATCCAAACCATTTAAGTTGATTGACTGCATAACTCCATCAATCAACTTACTATTTGTAAAATTTAAAACAATTCGTCCCTTTGATAAATTTCGATAATGCAATGAGAAGACGAAGATTATCAGATTATTTGTACCTTGAAACCTATGCTTAACCACAGCATTACTCACTTTCTGATAGAGTTGTGTATGGAATCCAATAGTAAATCTCAAATGTGTCATGGAGCTTTTGATAATTAGCTTTAGATTTCATTAGTCATATTTGTACTCAGTCCTATTATTGTCTGAATACGTATACATTTCTATATGTGTTACTATAAGTTAATATGTTTAGTAATTTAAGTTCATGACTATTGTCTACGATACAAAAGGATGTGACTCATAGTTTAGTAAATTAACTTGTTCATACAATGGTATCACTCATCTAATCCTCTTTTCTTCTAATAACAACTCGATGTATTGTGTTTAAAATGTCTTCTCTCTTTCATAATTTGTGTTCGTATTTACGGTATCTTTTTTGTCTCTTAAAAAACTGTATAGCTTTACAAAAAAAAGCAAGCGAAATAAATCTTGAAGCTTCAGATATGTGGAGTTTTGGTGTTATACTCTGGGAATTAACAACTCGTATGATACCATTTGATGGAATAAATCCTATGATTATTGGAATGAAGGTAATTGTTAATTAATGTTATATCAATTCAGATAATGAAATATTACTCAATTGGAAAATTAGAAGATAATGATAACTGGTTATGGTTTAAAATTACAAAACAACAATTTAAAAAAACAAGAACAAAACAAAATATACTACAGAAGGGAATTTAGGGCCAAGAAAGAATGAGAGGTTGAACGTATCGTTTTTTTTATGTAGAGTTTGGGCTTGAATAGGTGGATCGCCAATGCCTTAGCAGAGATATATGAATGATAGTTTAATTGTTTGTGAAGAAGATATGAGTGTCAATCAAATTTTGAGTCATTTCAGTAATTGTTATCACTCAATTCAATTCACGTTGAAAGTAGAGGTGGACGAGGTATTCTATTTTCTTGTTGTCTGGTTGAAAAGAAGGTCAGATGATTCTTTACATAGATCTATATATAGAAAACCGGTTTGAAATGGGCAGTATAGTAATTTTCATAACTGGGTTCAATTGCGTAGAATGAAAAACTTAATTTACTTTTTATCCTCGAGGATTAGGCGAATGTGTTCTAATGACACAATAGATGACGAACTACTTCAACTCCGCAGATCCTCATCAGAAATGTTTATCCACCTAGATTCGTCGATAGGAACTTAACACTTAGGCAACATGTTGAAAAGCGCCAACAGTTCGAAAGAAAACTTTTTGTGAATATTGAATTTAAAGGAGATACGGCTGCTGAAATCTTGAATAAACGGATTTTAAAGTCCCCGAATAGAACCTTCTATTCAGCTAAGTTCCGCATTGTCTTAGCAAGCCGACCCACCATTCACGGATGTGTTGAGGATAAACTTCTGCTTTGGACCACATGAATGTGCATCTACAAATTTACTTGAGCTTGTGGGGCAAGTTACATTGGTCACACAAAGCGATCACTTTCTAGACGCATTTCAGAACACTACCCCCAGCATGGCCTTTAAAAGGAGAATGCAAAACAGTTACCAGTTCAATACAAGAACATCTAATCAACTCCGAACACATCACTCTGAAATAGTGTTTTTTTAAAATAACCTACACAATCAAAGAAACTGGATTAAAAGGTGGTCGAATCAACTATTCAAACCCAAACTCTGCGTGTAAAAACGATACGTCCAACCTCTCATTCTTTCTTGGCCCTAATTTTTTTCTGTAGTATGTTTCGGGTTTTTTTTTTGCTTTATAAATTAATGTTTTGTAATTTTAAGCCATAATCAGTTATTATTATTATTATTATTATCCTTTATTATTCAGTTATCATTATGAAAAATTACATTTTTCTTCAATTTGATTACATTTGTATAAATATGTAATTTTATGGATGTATCCATGTTAAAATAATCTTCTTTATATGTATATGTAGTGTACTTTATATTTCATCATAGTCTACATACTTAACTTGTATCTATCTGTACGAGTTAATGCCCTAGTACGGCCGAGAGTAGGGAGAGTCTGCTCTCCCTCTCCAAATGCTCTCACATGGTCACGCGTATATAGCCTCTGTCAGGGAAGTCCTACTCACTGTCTTCTCGTGGCGTGGGTGTTGTTTACGAAATTGAGAGAACGAAAAGCGAATGTCCGGCGCTTTAACCGGATCCCAAACCAATGGTGCACATGGGCTCCAGTATCCTGCGGGAACAAATGGCGTATGAACCAATTGTTGGTCACCGGCTACCATGGGACTGCATCTCCTTACGATGCTCCACTGCCTTGTGGATCATACCTTCAGGTCGAAGGCTCGGGGTGTGGCCCCCTAAGAAAACCACCTGCTTCGATTTGGGCACCCGGGCAGTATCACAGCCCTCACACATATGGAATGAGATTTGTGTGGCGCATATGTATTTGATGCCTCCTTGTACCAATATCTATGTGTTAAAATAAGTAAGTAGTTAATGATTCTCTAGTTATGATACCCAATTTGTTTGTTTTTCCCAGAATCTTTTCAATGATATATGATTATAGTTGTCTTTACAATGATAATCATGTATACCGAATGAGAACCTTCAGTTTATATAGAATCTTAACGCTAACTCATTTATTTAGTTATCATTAAGAATTTGAATGTTATCATAAAAGGACTAGTAGAAATCTCCGGCGGTTGTTGTTTGATTTTCAATAATTAAGTCAATTTTTATTCCCAATGGAAAGTACCATAAATTTGTACAAAAACGGTTTTCTTATTGATAATTTTAATAGTTGAGATCATGAGTTAATTGAAGCTAGACCACCATGGAAAACCTGAAAGCACTAGATGGCCGTTTCGTACTATTGCGGGACTCCTCAGCAGTGCTCATTCACGATCCTGCCTCGCGAGATTCGAACCCAGGATCTATCGGACTCGTGCGCAAACGCTTAACCACTAGACCACTAACCCGGCATCCAATGGTGCTAATGTCTAACAGTCATCCAGTGCTTTCAGGTTTTACATGGTGATCTAGCTTCAGTTGAGTCATGATCTCAACTATTAAAATTACTATAATATCCACAGAAACCCACTAAGATATTATTGATTAATAAGCTATAAATCAACTTCCAATGACATCCAACAATTTGATAAAGTTATTATCTCGGAACTAGATTGCCTTTTTTGTATTAGACGTTACACACTTAAGAAAAAAGTGAGCTGATAGAATTTCTTGGTAATCGACTGACAAATTGTTGGTAATTATTGTTTACACATTGACTTTGATTGTTCTTAGCAGTTAATTAGTTGAACCCCGAGTGCGGTTCAAAGTGGAGGCCTTAGCTACTAAGCCACTTCTTCACAAAGCATATATATATATATATATATATATATATATATATATAGAGAGAGAGAGAGAGAGAGAGAGAGGGGAAGAGTATTATACTATTAATCTGTAAGGAATTTAGAAATATTTATAAAAATTCTAATTAAAAGGATTGGTCTTTTATAAGAAGTATTATTTCTATCGATGTTTTATTGTAGCATAGTTTTCCGTAATATTCAGTCAGTCAGTAACAATGTAGAACTTGGTGCGTACGTACGTCAGTTCGAGTTACCATACCACATTAGCACAGAGATCCAGTTGTCGATTCACACAACACCTAATATTTCAGTACTATTAAGTATTGTTTTTGAATGATTAGAAAGTGTTTTATCCGAATTCACTGTTAATCAGAATTTCTATGAAACCGAAGCTTTTTTTAAAAGTAGTTTAATGTTTGTTTGAATGTCCAACAATGGATATTGCTCATTGAATTATGATTCATTTTATAATGATTAGATTAATGCGTTAGTTTGTCGATTGATTGAAGTTTACACTAATTTGTAAACATAGTAAACGTGAAATTACTTATTTATAAACGTTTGTTTATGGTAACATTTTACTAGGTAAAGTCATTTACAGTAAAGGAGGCATATTTGGTAGTGATTGATAATATTACTTACATGAAAGATTTTAGTTGGAAATTATTTTGAAGACACATCAGTATAATATAGCAAGGGTGTAAATAAATTTCATGGACTGAATAAAATATTGCATGTTTATACTCTATATAAAAGAATATTCCACAACATTGATTGTAACAAAAGTCTAAAGGGCTAGAAATAAGTGGTTATATAATGATTAAACAATGGTTATAAGTAAGGAGAAAATGAGTATAGTTCCTTTAGTTAAAGTAAGATTATTAAACTAGAAGACAGTCAAAATAAAAGGACATGATGATACAATAAAAGAATATTTGTCACCAAGGCAAATGAAGATTAATAACCATCTTTTGAACAGATCCAACAGGTTTCTGATACCTTCAGCAAAAGTCAAGACTGGAGCTTGGCTTTTTATTATTCATCTTGAAAAATTGCAAGATATTGACCTGACTTTCTGTATCCAAGAGATGTTTACTAATTGCGCTACTTAAAGTAATTCTTCCTTTTGTTCGAAGGCTTTTCCGAACATGTTCAAAAATCTAAGATATACCCTCCTTTATGTTCAGCCAATTTAGATGCTTTGGCATGTACACATAAATTTATAAATACATTTGACGACAGTCAAATGAAATAAAAATAAATTTATGCTATTCTGCTCAAATCTTTGTTTTTTGTTCTTTTCAAGATGATGATAAGTGGAACTATTATGTGTATGAAATATTCATATACATAAATGTTATAAATTGGATAAATCATTTTTAAAATATTAATTACACTGATGAATTTATTTATCTCATTCATTTTAATCTACAATTCTACTTTAACTCCCTTTTATTTATTCACTGTAAATTGTTTTAATCGAGATTGTGTAGTACGTTTCAGTTAACTAATAGAACAATATTGTTAATTTTTGGCAACTTTTTAAAAAAGAATCTTACATCTGTTGCCCCTCGTGAAAGAGCATAAGCCGCTTGCCAGCATTCTCTATCCAACTCTCTTCTGGGCAGTTTCTTCCTGTTGCTATTCGTCCTTTTCATGTGTGCTCCTGATTCCCGTCGCAGTATATCCTTTGGTCTTCCTCTTTTCCTTTTCCCTTCAGGACTCCAAGTTAGCGCTTTCTTCGTGAATCAGTTTCATAATTTCTACAATATGTGTCCTATCCACTTCTAGCGTCTTTTCCTAATTTCCTTTTCATCTGGAAGCTGGTTTATTCTCTCCCACAGTAGGATTTTGCTGAGGGTATCCGACCAACGGACAATGAGTATTTTGCTTAGGCAATTGTTTATAAATACTTGTACCTTTTTGATGATGGTTGTAGTAGTTATCGAAGTTTCAGCTCCGTACAGTTGAACCATCTTGCTGCTCGTATTGAAGATTCTGAATTTCATATTGGTTGAAAGTTTTTAAAAAAAATCTACAATGTATTAATTGTTTAGTTACATATTATGCAGATATTTTTAGATAATAGATGATAGAAAAACTCAAGTTTTGTGTAACTGTCTAATATAAATATATTCAGTGTAACCTGGGTGAACAAGTTAAATGAAAAACATAAATATACTAAAAATTAATGATTGAAATATCATCTTATCAACATTACAATCTAACTCACCGAATGACAAAAAGTGCTAAGTATAAGACAATTAGTGAACAATGTTACAGATAACGTTAATCTTCTGGACAAATTACATAATTCAACAATATAAGACTCAAATGCTTTATTGTATAACAAAATCTAAACACTATTAATAATCTGATTTTCAAACAGTTAGGTATAAAAGTTATAATGAAAAGTTCTGCAGAAATTTAGGATTCTAATTTTTCTAAGGTGTAATTTCTTGATATGTGGTCAGTCAGCTACAACGTAGGACCAGGCGCATATGTGCATCGTCCCAAGTTGCCATACCTCATTAGCACAACAAGATGAACACCCGATTCATAGGAGTAGTCACTTCAATGGTGGTAATATATAAAAGAAAGATTGCATATAAGGATATAGTACAGGAAGAAAGAATTAGTTCGTAGAAAGAAAGATATGAAGCGATTTTAATCTCTCAGTTTAAGGGAAATTGAAGAGTGTATACACCGACGCCATTGTGATCGATTCTGAGCCATGTCACCAAGAGTCTCCAACCATTGGTTACGATAGTCACGCGGACCCCAACCAAGTAGTCTGCATCTCCCAACATGACTCAGACTAGAAGTTAGTGACTTCAAGCACTGATGCCACGTTTTGGTTTGGCCACCCCTAACTTTCTTCCAACCATCCTCAACACTAGTTAGTATTGCACGTCGTGGTAGTCGGTGTTCAGGCATACGTAACACGTGGCCCAACCATTTCAGTCGATGAAGATTCACAACCTCATCAACTGATTTGCCATCAATCCCTAATACCCTGTGTCTAACCTCAGTATTACTTACCCGATGATCCCAACAGATGCAAGCAATATTTCTAAGGTAAATATGATTTGTCACAGAGTCTGTACAAATAGTCACTTAAAACCACTCACATAATTATCCAATGAGTCCGTACAAATGTTTTTTTCTCAATTTCGGTCATGTTTTATATATGGGATTAAAAATATGAATTAAGGTGAATGTCTGACTCCTTATGTATTCGCATCTACCATTCAGCCAGTTGTAAGTTATTGCTAGACATAACTTGAAAATCATGTTTTTTTCTTTTCTTTTCTCTCCATATTATGTATTACCTCACTGTCATCTACCTTTCTCTTATAATGTTCTAATTCTTATATTTACTAACTATGAATATACACATGAATTTCAGTATATTGTTTCTATTCTAACAACATTAAAAAACTTTTATGCTAATTAAATTCAGGGTGTAACATAACACGTTTTAAGTGGCGCTATTTTTTCTCAATGTCAATAATTCATTCCACTTTTAAGGAACAATCATATTCAACATTCATTATTTAATTTAATTTAACGTTTTCTTTCTGTATAACTTTTAATATATTTGTAGTTTTTTTTGTTTATTAAATGATGAACTTTTCTTTTTAAAAAAACTGTAAACATTCTTAACATATTTCAACATCCAGATATTAATATTAATGAAAAGTGTTGACAGATCAATAAATAGGTTTATTATGTGAATTGTTTCAGAGAAAAAGTTTCAATTGGAAACACCTTGAGTCCACGTACTGATTTTAGTTAACTTTATTATTAGTGGGGGGGGGTGGACACTAGATACATACACGCCACACAAGTCACTTGATTTGTGTATGGGTTGTGATTTTATTTATTTATTTATTTGAACACATAAATATTGGTACAAGAGAGCGCCAATATATATACGCCACACAAGACAATGAGAATTCGAAGAGAAAGAAAAAACAGGTAAGGAGCGTGAAAAAAAGAGAACAATAACGAAGAGGTTGGTGTAAGGTAGTGTAGTAGTAATAATGAGGGAATGGAAAGGTACAATCAGAAGAAATCTTTCAGTTAAGGGAGACACAACCACTTTTTATGAAGAAAGTAAAAGAAGGTTACAGCAGGATCGCCACTGGCTTCTATTCTGAGCCATATCTGATAACATCTCTAGCCACTGTGTAGCACCATCTCTCGGACCCGAGAGATGGCTTGTGATACTACCCGGGTGCCCAAACTGAGGCAAATGGTTTTCTTAGAGGGCCACACTCCGAGTCGTCGACCTAAAGGCCTGATACACAAGTCAGTGTAGCAACGTCAGGAGATGCAGTCCCATGGTAGCCGGTGACCAATAATTGGTTCATACGCCATTTGTTCCTTTAGGATACTGAAACCTATGTACATCATTGGTTTGAAATTAGGGTTTTTCAACTCCCATAGGTGGACTCTCTATATCCATCAACCCGGTTAAAGCGCCGGAAATTCGCTTTTCGTCCTCTCAATTTCGTAAACAACACCCCCGCCACGAGAAGACAGTGAGTAGGACTTCCCTGGCAATGGCTATATACGCGTGGCCATGTGAGTGCATTTGGAGAGGGAGAGCGGACTCTCTACACTCTCGGCCATACCAGGGCATTTGGCGGTTAACTACTGAACATCGATTCGAAATCATTTATTACTTATTATATTCTTTTCAATTATCGTTGATTTCAATGACACTTTATTGATCACCTGTAATGATGTTCTAATAGAATAATTTCATTGAACATATTTATTTTTAAAATTAGTTAAAACTAAGTTAATTACACGCAAAATGGTATAACATAATTTTGAATGGTGATATGGTGGTGAACTAAGACACACCAGTGGAGACAATCAAATACATCTGATTACAAAATTACAGAATCTTTTACTAAAATCTGAGAACCATACAGTAAATACTTTATTTGCAAAATGTCAATCAATTGTCTTACACTTGATTGTTCCTTCATTTCCACACCAATCACTCTCTGTCCTCGTCTACTTGTCTTCGATCTTCTCAACTTTCTGCTGCCAGATATTCCACTTTCAATTATTGATACATACTACTTATATCTGTCAACATCACTAGCGGACACCACAGTATCAGTGGGATATTTGATCGTTGTATTCTGTCGTATTATGAAATTGTCATTTGAATGCACAGTCGCATTTTAATGATATTGTAAAAACAAATGTCATCTGTTAATATGCTACAAAATCGGTTACTAAAATCTTGAGTTACGATACTTATTTTTTTGTATAACCAGATTCTAATCATTCTTGCCTTTAATATTGTTACCGCTAGATTATAAAAAACTAATCATGGATCAGTCATGCAGTTCAACTACCATGCTCTTGAATAATAAATTAGCTTTTAACATTTTTTATGACTGATCGATAAACTCTCAGAGTAGATTTTATTGGCAATTTGACCAGTTGCCATCCTAAACATCAATGGGAAGATTCAAACAACCAATACGAAAATGAATTAAAACTTCACCCCACTGTATACGCTATTGGTTATCTGAACTCAGTAGCTAAGTGGATGACGCAATCGCGTTTGAAGCGAACGGTATTGAGTTCGAGACCAGAAGTGAACTTCAATTCCGGGATGCAGATACATGCAGTTCACAATTCCCAAGTAGAACGAGACGGGCGTCCTGAATTTAACTGATAGCCACCATCCATCTTTATTTAAAAATGCTTTACGGTGAGAATAATGTTTCAATATAACTTAGCCAATAGAGAAATCTTTGGCTTCCTTTAGGTTCCTGGTTTCAGAACTATTTTCTACACCTTATTCTCTGCGTTCGTTCTTTCCTTCCGAATCATATCTTCTATGTTGAATCGTCTGTACTACCACTGTTATTATTTTACTATTTTGTCATTCACCTGGTTAATTCCATATTACTGTTTTGATGTGCTGTGACAACTTAGGTTGATACACGTACGTACCAGATTCTATGTTGCTTGTGACTGACTAGACAGAGTGACTACTGCTAAGCGATTATTTAGTGTAAAAATACAGACCAACATGAAATTGAACACCTTTAAACTACCTAGTAAGTTATATAGCTGTCACTTCGATTTTACTTTAATATCCTGAGTTTCGTATGGTTTATAGTGAATCTCTTCTATTATAATCTTTTTGTAGATAGCTACAGAAAATCTTCGTCTTCCAATTCCACCTGATTTGGACAGTCGAATTGTACGTCTATTCGATTTATGTACAAAAGATGATCCTGGTAAACGCCCAAGATTTGATATTCAACTCATTCAGTTATTAGATAAAATGCGTGAACGTGCTTCTCAATGAAATGCTTAATTCACTACTGATATCGATCCCGATAAATTTTTAATTAGTTACATTGTGGTCAAGAGGATTTAAGTGGCGCATGCTCATTATAATAAAACTAGCATCACAGCGTTTTCAACACAAAATAATGTTCTTATTCTATGCTTCATCTGCGATATTTTATCTCCAATATGAACTTTCGTGTATGTGTAGTATATTAAATACATATAGCATGTTCATGAACAGCTATTTTTGGTTCAATAATATCTTAAAATCGTGTTTTCTATGAAAGTTATTTCCTTTTTCCTTAGGTCTATGGATATTTGATTTCTCCAGTGGTGTCTCTCTGAAATAAGCGTATTTATCGTAATTTCAACCCTAATAGTTATTTTAAAAGGCGTTTTGCCAATTCTTTCATATTGAGCTTAACAGTATAATATTGTCTTCTTGTTATACAATCACAGCTGATATATATATATATATATATATATATATATATATATATATAGAGAGAGAGAGAGAGAGAGAGAGAGAAATTGCATGGCTTAACAGTTGAGCAGTTATGTACACTTTGTACTCACTCGTGCATTCTGTTTGATTTTACACACAGAAACACATTATTGTTATTGTTTATGCTAGCCATAAGGTTTGTGATATTAGTTTTTGTAATAACTTTCAATTGGAAATGATAGGGTGTATTGCTTTATTTTTAAAAAAAAATATTCATAGCTATTCTTATATACTAATTGTTATCTATGCGAATAAAATATCTTATATATATATATAACATAAACTATTACTTGGTGTGTTTTTGATAGGCTAGTTAAACTCAACTAGGACTCAACAGGCAAATGCAGCTGACGAACCTCTACCATAACCAAACATGCGTTCAATTCCACTCACTGTTTAAAATATATAGTTTTTACTAAGTCATCATTTATTCTGGTACAAAATGCATGGAGAATCAGTTATTATTGATTGAACATTTAAGTAAGGTATGGGAAATTGGAAACGTGTTATGACTCTGTCAAAATCATCGGTGAATATATAACCTTTAGTCCTGGTAGGATCCTTATCTGACTTCAGTGAAGATGATATGTGTCAATCTTCAATTACTTAGTATATATTCTTTTGATTACTCTCGTTAATAACAAAGGGAAATAAAAAGTCGATTACAAGTAGTATTTCGGATACGTATTTCCCAACTTGTGTATGGGCAGCAGATGAACGAAGTGGGAATAGAAAATTGAGGTAGGTTACACCCCGACTCTTCTAAACTTAAGCATGATTCAGCTTATACATAAACTAATAAAAGCATAAGATGCAAGTAAGTGGATAAACACGTGTATGCTAAACTCAATTATCTTTATAGAAAACATACAATATGGTGGGATGGGGTTTGAACATAGGTAGGTCTATGTGCATTATAAGCAAATAATATGAAACACTGCAATCTCCAACAGAAGTTTACATCCAGTATCTAATCACCATTGATTTGCGACCTACTAAACAACATTGATCCCATGAAACAGCCAAAAAAAATTTCACAAAGCTAGCAGATAGCATTATAACGATACTGATTTGAAGTAACTTAGTTTTGTGCATACTATAAAATATTCAGTCTATGCAATGTATCTACACCATGCCAGATTGATACCAATATTATGCCTTTAGATGGTGCGTGTGCGTAGTTCCAAAGATTCTCAGTGCAATCTAAAGAAAACTACACGGAATAAGCAACCAGTCTCACCTAGATCAAAGATCGACATTGACAGACTTATTTACTGTGAAAATAAGTATGCCTTAGGTTCCACTGGTCATTTAGTGAGGCATGTTTCAAAGTATACCGGTGCTGCTGTAAGTAGTAAGCGATTTTTATCTGTGCGAAGGTAATGGCACATCACTTGGATGAAAGGACCTAAGCCATGAGGTATGCTAATGGTTGGTTAGAGAACCCTAAGTCCCTATTAGAACTATATCTTCAGGTAAGAGGCAGATCAGAGAACATAGCACCGGTAATCGGCGGCGAGGATTAAGGCCATGAATATCAATTCGGCACGACTGGGAAAGATCCCAGGATATTTGTTTGGAGATCCCCAGTCGATAGATTATACTTCCAAGAAAAGATAGCAGGGTTAAGTAAAAGAAGGCGTCGCTATAATATAGAAATGCTTGGTTCGGTCGACCGAAAGAACAATTATATTATGCATCCAAATCTTACTAGATTTAAATTGTTATCCAATCTGACGGGATATTACATGAATGAAATGCATAGTACATATATCATGTAAGCCCACCTAAATTTCCAACAAATCACCTCTTATATTAATGCAGGGGATAGAATGACGAGCAAGCAATCCAGCATAGCTAATCTGAAACGAGGAAGGGCAGATGGATTGGTTCCTGAGGTCTTTAAATATGGTGGCCCAATTTTAGCGATTAGGTTGGCTAATATTTTACCTAAGATCTGGGAGTTGGACGTAATCCCATCTGACTGGTCAAAATCACTCATCGTCCCAATATATAAGAAGGGGTCAAAATCATCCTGCAATAACCATAGAGGGATTAGTTTGACTAATATAGCATCTAACATACTAGCATCAATAATTATCGGGCGCCTAACCAAGACTCGTGAACTGCAAACACGAAGAAATCAAGCTGGCTTCAGATCTGGCCGTGGCTGCATCGACCACTTATTCACCATTAGTCAGCTTTCAGAGCACAGGCATACTTATCGGCACCCGACAATGATAGTTTTTTCTTGACTTAAAAGCAGTATCCGACTCCGTAGACTAAGAGGTTCTATGGCAGTGTCTGTCACTGAAAGGTGTACCTCAGAAGTACATAAACCTTGTGAAGGCTCTTTACTCGAACACTACTAGTCGAGTCAGAGCTTATGGTGAACTGCCATCTGATTTCGCAACCTCAAGTGGTGTCCGTCAAGGCTGTTCACTATCTCCATTTTTGTTCTATATCGTCATTGATTTACTGCTAGAAACAACGTTCTCGTCGTCTGAATTTTCAGAAATTGATCTCCTTCCAGGAGGTCCACTTATCGACTTAGGATACATAGTCCTGTCTGTTGAGGACGTCGGTAGAATGCAGAGCATTTTGGTAACACTGAACAATGGCAGGATGTTTGAAGCAGTCGAACGCGTTGACAACTTCACTTATCTTGGAAGTCTGATCAGCCCTAATGGGTTGGTGCCTGACGAAATCTCAGCACGGATTCGAAAAGCTCGCTTGGCTTTTGCCAACTTCCGTCACCTATGGCGAAGGCGAGATATACGTCTATCAATAAAAGGACGAGTATACTGCGCAGCAGTTCGTCCTGTTCTACTTTACGGCAGCGAAACATGGCCATTAAGAGTACAATACACTCGTAAGTTACTAGTATTTGACCACAGCTGCCTTAGAAATATTGCTCGCATCTGATGAGAACACTAGGTAAGTAGTAGTGAGGTTAGACGCGTGACCAATGATTGTAGACTCTCAGTGACATAGCTAAGAGTCGATCACAATGGCGTAAGTGTATACACTCTGTCTTCCCCTAAACCGTGAGATTAAAATTGGTTTACATCCTACTTGCTGTGAAATGATTCTTTCTTCCTGTATTATATCCTTATACACAATCTTTCTTTTATATATTACTACCAACGAAGTAACTACTATGAATTCGGTGCCCATCTTGTTGTTCTGAGGTATGGCAACTTGGACCGATGCATATATGTGCCTGGTCCTACGTTTTAACTGACTGATAGGAAATAATCCTAACACAAAATCGTTTTAACTTTTCGTTAAGAAGCATACGGGACAAAAATGAGATATTTCTAACTGCAAATATATGCATTTCCAATTGAAGAACTTGATCATGGACAAAACCTGGCAATTTTAATTGAGTGTTAAAATAAATCGAAAAACTAATATTTTCAAAAAAACAGGTTTATTACCAACTAAATGTTGAAATACATGACAATTATGATTTACCAAACAATCAATAAAAATGGGAAAGTAGAATACAATGTTTCGAAAAATAAGATTATTAAAGACAACCTATAGATCACTTTTCTTTGGATTGCCTGATCTGTCGTACCCATTAAGTTCTTCAGTAGCTTCGCGTGCAAGATATTTGATGATGTCAGTAGTGTCACGACCACCCTAAAGAATATGTGAGAAGACTCTACATACTTACCTCGTAAGGTACAGGTGAAGATTTCTTTCCTTTAGGGACGAAATAGATTGTTGGGAATCCCCTGACTTGATAAGGCGAAGGGACGTCATTGGCGGTTGCATCCATAGCAGCCAAGACTAAATTTGGTTCATTTTTTAGTTTACTGGCTGCTTCCTCGTACTTTGGCATTAAATTTTTACAATGACCACACCAAGGAGCATGAAAGACGACCATTACATCCTTTTCCTCGTTATTTACTATCTCATCAAAGTTGAGTGCAACTAACTTTCTAACTGCACTAGAGTCGTCTGTTGGGAGAGGTTCTGACTTGACATGTGGGGTCAAAAGACCATCTTTAAATTTATTCAGAAAATCAGAAAATGCATCAAGACTAAAACAGTTATTACGAAAACAACTTACCTAAACTGCTCAAGCTTGTACTTCTTGCCTTTAGATTGGATTACAACTGCTGGTAGTTTATCCGCTTCTATACCATACTCAGATAGTTCATAAGAAAAATCGTCCGAGAAGCTATAAGCGAATACCAAATCCTTGAATTTGTTAGAATTGTCCTTAAGTGTTTTGAAAACACGATTTCTTAGATACTTTACTCCAGATGGATATGAATCTACGGATTGGTTATTGTATAATACTACTAAATCGACATTTTCGAAGTAAAATGAATTTGACGGTGTTCTGTAACCAACCAGTCCCTGGCTAAATCGAAAATAAGACGAAACAGCTTCCTTACCCATGTTTACGGATCCATTCCTTAATATTGCTAGATTCAAGTTCTCCTTTATAAAGAGCGAAGTCATCCTCAAACTTTGTTCGAAGACGTTTAGGCAAGTAGACTCTCAATTCGCTGAGAAATGTGAATTACAGAACAAGTAACTTACTAGTCATCAGGAGTTACAAAAAGATTATTATGACTATGACAAAATACAGCGTCGTCGACCATTGATTTTGCAAGAGCCATGAAAGTCTTCATTAATGGGTCACTAGACGATTTTATAAATGCAAACACAGTTGGCTTGTCGTCTGATAAGAAGTTCTCGACATCACTAACAGTGCTGACTTCTTTGGATACAGGTCCTGCTCGAGACATCATAAAATTGACGATTCCATCTGAACCCCGGTTATAATAATATGAACCCTACCTGCATTCCTTGGACCATTATATTCACTGTCTAAATCTCCATTCCTGAAGATTTTTAGAGTAGGGTAGCCACTAACTCCAAATTCTGAGCAGATACTTTCGTGGGCCGTACAGTCAACCTTAACGAGTTTAACATCGCCAGTTTTCCCGGA